ATGGGATGTATCAGCTTCCAAAACATATTCGTATAAAATTTCATTACAATGTTGCCAGTAGTTTCGGCAAAATCGTAAAAAATGCGTAGTTTTTTGTTCTTTAACGCCCTGTATCTTGAAAACGGATGATGTAACAAAAATTTTTTACTAAGCAAACCCCTATTATTTTTCAGTTTTTTACCTACCCTAGAGACAAGGTTACCTTTTTTTGAAACACCCTGTATATCTAGTTGTTGCATTAAAAAAAACATGAAAAATAGGCCAGACTGGATAACTCAAAATGCATAAATTTCGAGTTATCTACTTGTTGCATTAAGGGGGTGAATTGTAGTATTGATTTATATGTAAATTATGCTCGGTCAAATGACTCCTTAAAAATATCCCATAAGCTTGTAATCAGTACACTATGTCAGCGGCTGTCGTATGTGAAAATTTTTTCCAAACAAATTCATTCTTTACATTACATTGGATCTTCTCTGTTCCCTTTTTCAGAAAAACGTCAGCAATATTGGCTTCCTACATGTATTTTTAATTCTGTATAATTAAATTTTTTAACAATATTTTATTTATATGAATCCATCATAACCATTTTATAATAAAGTAACACCGTATTTTAATTTTTGGGTCAATGTTGACGTTTGACCAGCATAAATATCTTGTTTAAAAAAAAACCCATCTATATATTATTAGATGTAATTAAGATATTTCGTGACATAATATATTAGGTTTTTTAGAATAAATTATGACAGTGTACCAAAATGTGACCTTAAAATATTGTTGTTAGTTACTATTAGCACACAATCATGTCTATTGATGTAGGAAACAGAAATTAAGTCGAAACCAGGAGGCTTTTATGTAACGTTCGGCATTTTATTATTTTGCTGTACTTTTGCTGCTGTATTTTTGAATCAAGTCGGCGGTGATGTTAAACAAATTTCTCATAAAATATATTTGAAGTTTTTCTTGGTGGTCGTCTTGACGGAGTCGACTATAATTGACATCCTCGATGGCTTAATGGATTGGTAATAGGGATGGGAAAAACCTACCGGTTTTAACCGAAAACCGGTTTTTTTACTTCGAAATAACCGGTTTTATCGGTGGTTTTTTTTCCCGGTTATAACCGGTTTTTTATTTTTAAAGTAAAAACCGGTTATTAGGTTTTTACCGTGATTAGGATTAGGTTAGGTATTATTTTGGATCCCACCCAATCATAATTATTATTCTCAAGTAATTATTCCAAACAAAACTAAAATTTAATTTTGATTTTATTTAATACAGAAGCAAAAGCTCACATTAGCCAGAAACAATTAAATTTTATTATAGTATTTCGTTGAAAAAGTATTTGTAATCATAATATTTTTACATAAGAAGTGATCTGGTATTTATTATGGTTATTTGACTCTTGACATTGAAAGTGGGTGAATGGCTTTTTCTGATTACCAAAAATAATGACTATGAATATCGAATTACCGATTAGGAATACGAATCTACAAGGATTTCCCTACGTTTTCAAAACGATTTATACCCATACCGGAAGTCGTAAATGAGTTAAAAGTAATAAATGATAATTTTTTTTTGATGGTAGTAAAAATAAAAGATGAATTGCATTATCCAATTTATTTTTAAGTAAAATATTTATGTTGATATTATTTTTTTTAAATCCCATTTGAAAGAGTCTGGGGAATTTTTTTCTCACAAAACACAAAAAATTGTGTTGCGAATGTAGTATCGCAAACTAAAGTGCATTGTAAATGTAACTTTTTAATCTATTTGATTAAAAAAACCGAAAACCGGTTTTTGAAAAAAACCGGTTTTTTTGGCCGGTTATAACTGCCAGGTTAAACCGTAAGCAAAAAAAAACGGTTTAACCGAAAACCGGTGTTTTGTCAAAAACCGCCATCCCTAATTGGTAAGTTTATATTATTCATGATGGGTATGAATATAAACCCATTGCGTATGTAGCAATGGGTAAAATAAGAGCACTGACAAACCTGAGCTTAATATTTCTTATAGTTTATTCGTCTTCCGGGTTTGGACCGTGTCATTTGTGAGTGACCCAAAAGTGGGTTCATCTCGACGTTTCGCTACAATTGTATGTAGCTTCTTCAGGAGAACAAAGAAAAAGAAAAAGAAAACAAAAGACAGGAAGATGGGTAGTTAGCAACGGTAACTCAGTTACTCAACGCAACCAGAGGCGAATACTAACTACCAAGATGGGCATTTGGTCACAGTAACTCAACTACTCAACGCAGCCAGAGGTGAAAACCAAATGCCTTAAGATGGCCTATTTTGGACACGTAGTAAGGGGAGACCGATATAATATTCTTCAACTTATTATGATGGGTAAAATCGAAGGACGCAGAGGAATTGGTAGAAAGCAGGCCTCTTGGTTAAAGAATATGGTTGAAGAAGAATCCAACTACCATTTTATCAATACAAGCTGAAGTTCCTATAGTACAGCTTGCCTGACAGTTGGTAATAAATTTCTGAAATCGGTTCTGCGGTATCCAACACTGTTCTCTGATTTCTGTCTTCGGGATTGTTAAATCGCCAACATGACAAAACACACGCACATCTCTCTTTTGACATAATGCATCTCATTATTTCTCTACCAGTTCCATTAGTAGCAAAAATAGTATCTAAGTTTTCATTGTTCGATTTAAATAAGCATGCAAATACTAAAAATACCCAAAAATATGTGAAGTTCTGTCATGTCAAGGTCTTTAAGAGAAGGTGAATTTTGTTTTCTGTACTTGGCTCTTTCTTTGCCGAATTTCATATTAGTCCATCTAAGCATTATGTTGCAAATATTATCACTGAATAATAACTTTCAAACTTGCAAGGGTCTGCACTATATCCAATTTTAGCTGCAGGGCGTGATCCAGGTAACTGTAAAACTATAAGTAGAATAAACATTTATACTACTATTATTTAGGAATATAAAATAAACTATGCAAATTTAGTTTCTATACTAATATGCAAATAACACCCTAGTCTTTTCCCAGGGTATGCACAAATATGAACCGCTCTTTTCAAATAACATGGCCTGGTTGATTTACTTTTATTTTATTTTATGTTGATATTGCTCCAAATGTTTATTACTTGTAAATAAATAATTTTTTCTACAATATTTTTCTTGCATCTCATTATGTTGTGCATCAGGTAGATCGCATCCTCGAGGTAGACCGCATACTAAAGTAACACCGAACTTCAGTACAATACATACATAATAATTTCAAGAGATTTGACTTACCCCCTATTTCCGATTTCGTTTGGTGATCGCTGTCAATAGCAAAATTTCCATCACAAATTAATTCAACTTCATATACTTACTAAACATATTTGACATTTTTTGACGTACTGAGTCCCTCATTCATTTTCAGGTAAATAGTAAATATATAAGAATACTAACAACTCGTCTAATAGACGGAAATCAAACTTTGATTCTAAATATCTTTGGAATAACAACCTGCAGCAAACTGCTGATCTCAATACTAATAAATAACAACCCAACCTGACAAGTCATAAACGGGCGACCTTCAAAATGTTTTAGGTAGGGAGATACCCCACTTTCGACAAGCGATGCCGTCTGAGAGAAGGGGCGTTAGTACTTAAGGGTTAAGTATTAACATTTACTACCATTGTCATAGACTTAAGGTCGCATTATATTTTAAATTTTAATATATAAACCATATATTGATGTCTTCACTGCAATTTTAGTGTTAGCTACAAGTACTAACGGAATGCACTGAAGATGATCTGAGTTAAATCGAAAATGTTATACATCTCTAATTTTTAGACGACACTTTTAACAAGTTTTAATAAAAAAGTTTTTATACCAATAAAGAAATTTTAAGGTTTTTACTTCTGTATTAGTTTTTTAACTATGGTATACAGCCAACTACTGGGATTTTCTCATTTATTTTTATTTTTAATAATTAAAATAATTCGTACGATCATTAAAATAGAGTAATAAATGAAAGACTATCAAAATAAAAAATACTATTATTTTATTCTTAACCCCGTATATTGTAGATCAATATAGTGCTTATTTTTGTTGTTTAAAAAAATTTAAAGGCTGCACCAAAGTAACGCACGGGAGAAACGTTATAATAGGAAAAATGTTGAGTGAAAATGAAAGTGCAGTAAGTGCATCAGAGTGAATGTGCACGTGATTACGTAACCTAAAGTAGTAATAGATACGCAGAATATATATTTTTTGTAAACAACTACCAAAGGTATGGATTTATATAAACATGCTTAATATTTTTGACTAAATTCCTTAAATAAAAAGTATTCTGGTTTCTAATGTTAATGTTTAGAACATTTATAAGTTTTTAATATTCTTATTCTGTAGAGTTGTGTTTATTTTCCTCTTATTTATAATTTCCTTGTTCTATATATTTCTGTAGCTTGGTTTTAAAGATGGCCAACTTCATTTAGCAAAATTTTCAGTTTAGGTAAAAAACTGATTAAAATACTTGCACACAATTAGTACTGTTGAATTTTTTTTTGTTGGTTAATATTTATATCCAGTGCATCTTGGAATAATTATATTTATGCTTTTTACTGTAGTTAAAGAGATATTTAACGTTGAAATATGTAGTTGGCCGTGTTTGTAACCAATATGTGGACATAGTCGTTTTTGTTTCCAAAAATATTGCTGATGGTGTCACTATGGTCACTATGTCACTATGATATCTTAAGTCAGCAGTAAAATATCAGTAGCAATGCATCAGGGCTTACTATACTGAAGATTTTTTTGGTGAAAATAAAAAAAGTTGAAATATGTGTTAAAAATATTAATAATTTATTGGGCTAATACAATATTTGTCAATAATATTTATAAAACCGATTAATACACTAACAACAAAGTTCTTTAGATATCTGCTTAATCGGTAGACAATATCTGAATCTTACAATAATTCTGAGTCAAAAGTACACTACAACTTGGTTGACTTCCATGACTTCATCGCAGTCTACATTATTTAAGTACTCACATTCAGGAAGTGGATTTTCAGAGATCATTTGATTATTGTTTATCACTTCGTGATACCATTTCACATTTTCCATTTCACTTTATTTTTCACCATAATGTTTTTGTAATAAAACGAGCACGTCTTAAATTTTTAATGCATTCACTTTGACTTCAAGCGTAAGTTCAGTTGGGTTTATATTCCACACTTTTTTCCCTGGTCTCATGACACTCAAACTTGAATTAATTGGAAATCTGTAATTTTGTTCGCCAATGACAGTTATTGAATTTTATTTCTTGATCAGAATTAACTTTTTGACTTGTGAAAGTTTGAAATAAAGATATGTTGGTTCTCTAACACAGTTTTTAACTTGTGACTTCCAGTCTTGTGAAAACAGTATTTTCCTAAAAGTTGTACTGTCCCAAGCTTACTGAACTCTGAAAGATATTCTTCAAGCTGTACAATTGTATCACTTTTCTTTACACTTAGTTCTACGCCAGGAAAAATTCTATCTTCTTTTTTGGGTGCCGTCTTCAATGAAGGTTGACGATAACCTCAGCAAAATCATTTCTGTCCCTGGCTTTTCTTATTAAAAATTGAGAATCCAAACCAGTCCACTCACGAATGTTCTTCAACCAGGACGCCTTCCGTCTACCAGGACCACGTTTTCTTTCTACCTTCCCCTCTATAAGCAGCTGCAGTAGCTATTATTTTTCATTTCTGTATATGTGTCCCAAATATGAGGTTTTCCGTGTTTTCATTATTTTTAAGAGTTCTCTGTCGGTACCCATCTTGTGTAGGACCTGCTCGTTGCTAATATGCGTTGTCCAGGGGACTTTCAGCATCCTTCGAAATAACCACATTTCAAAACTTTCCAAACGCCTGAGTGAGTTGATTTTGAAGGTCCAGGCCTCCATTCCATATAGTAAGGTGCTGTAAACGTAACATTTCAGCATTCGGTATCGGATTTTGAGATTGAGTGTTTGGGACGTAAACATTTGTTTTATTTTTAAAAAGACATTTCTTGCTTGTTCAATTCGCGATTTTATTTCTATGTCTGGATCTATATCTTTCGTTATCCAGCACCCTAGATATCGAAATTTCTTGACATTTTCGATAATGTTACCATTCACGTTTAAAGCCATGGGTGGATGGATGGATGTTTGGAGACAATCATTGTTTTTGTTTTCTTGACGTTAATGCTGAGGCCGTATTGTTCTCCGATCGATCTGACGCGATCTATGAGTGTCTGGAGATCCTGTGCGCTCTCTGCAATTAGGACCGTGTCGTCGGCGTATCGTACATTATTTAGAACTCTGCCGTTAATTTAAACACCTTCTCTTGATTGCTCTAGTGCTAGGGATATATGAGTGACCGCTAACAGGAAACACAAGCTCCACTGTTGTGATTGAAGTTTTAGTCCTGTGCAGCCAAGCAATGCACATAGTTAATACAATACTATTCTTGTTTTGGCCTGGACACCCATCAGCTAGCAGCCTTAATGTGTATTTTGCTTTAAAGTAATCAGATTTAGATCTTCACTCAAGTTCTTGAAATACTACAGAGGCTTTCGAAGATTCGAAGACTTTTTCATTTCGTTTTCGTTTTCATTATAGCAACATTAGGTTTTTTTTTTCAGAAGGTTGAAACACCCTTTAGAACGAGTAGTGTGAACAGTGTACTCCGTTAGAAGCGTTTGCAATATTGCCTTTTTTTAACTATAATTTTTTTTTGTACTGCAGACAGGTTGAACACGCATCTGTCGAAGGCCTTTTAAAGCTAATGTTGAGCTTAGTTACGAATATGTGTCGAAAAAACGACTCTTTAACTATAAATTCATCAACAGCTGATTCTTCGTACATGTTCCACATTTTAGAAATAGACAGGGTGAAATCAAGATAAATACGAGTACTCTTCGGCCTACTGTAATGTGATTATGTGCCTTTAAACTGCTTTACAAAATGTATTACAGAATCAATTTTTTCTGATATGTGTTAGCCTTCCTATAACCACCTCGAGTTTCAACGGGGACGAGACATCCGTCTTTTCTAAATCTTGTGAAAACATCTTCAACACTGTGTTTTGTTATTCTCAATACACTAATAAACGTGTTCCTACATATCTCTAATCTATTTCCAGCTGTTGTTTCATTACAGTATTGGTAGGTTACGCCTTTAGTATATCTTGATCCGCCTCCTGCTCTGGTTCTTTTTGGTTGTTCTGCCGTGCAATACTTAAGTTTTATTAGCAAGTCACTCGCCTTATAGTAAACATTTCTATTACTTCAGTCGTCAGAGACGAAAATGCTACTGGACCTCTAAAAATCATACGAACAAGCTGAATTTTACCAAGCGTATTAATTTTGGGACCTCAAAAAAGATGCAAAAAATTTTACCACTTTTGCCTCCGGGCTTCTCCCTCCCCCTCATAGGGGGTAAAAACGCAAAAAAATCGATTAACTAAGAATCTCTATAGCGTAGAAAAAAATGTGTATTTTAAACAAAAAGGTTAATAAGCATTTTTTGTGTAGAATAAACCGTTCTCTAGAAACAACGCTTGAAGCGACCGTCGATTTTGCATTTCAGTTGCGAGCGTGAAAAGAATGTTCAATAAAATCAGCTCAGCGGTAAAAAATTGATATCTTCTGATTCAAATGACCTATCCACAAAAAAAGATACGTTTTAAATGTAAAGAGTTCAGCTTTCGTATGCTGTTTTTGTATTTTGCCGCAACTAAACTTAGATTTTATACAGGTGTTAAATAAATATGCAATTTGCAATATAGTGAAATTTTGCAATGGATTGTGTTTTTAATTTTTTATTATGTTTTATTCTGTGATATGGACGACTTATGTAATTTTAGTAAATTTTAATTGTTATTGTTATTATTACTTTTTTTCAGTGACAATAAAGCATACTTCTACTTCTACTAACGTTGCGCGATTTTTGCGTTTTTTACTATTCTCACAAGATCAATACAATATATACCTTTCATTAACTAGCAACTATGAAGTTTCAATTACTAGAGCCTAACCTTTAACAACTATAACATGAAATTTTAGTTTTGAATTTTGGCAACAAATTTGAGGTATTTGAAATATGCTTCAAAACGCTGGATTGAAACTTTTACACAACAGACGATCTAAAACAGTTAAAACTCTTTTTTTAATTACACTAGTACGTTTTTGAAAAGGACCAATCTTCTGCAATAAACTGCATTAAAAACCGTGATCTTAATTTGAGCTTTTCCCGTGACGTGTATTTCAAATACCTCATATTTGTTGCCACAAATCCAAAATTGAAATTTTATGTCATAGGTTTTAAAGATTGATCTCTGAAAATGGAAATTTTTCTACAACTAGTGAATGAAAGTGATCAGTTTTATTGATCTCACGAGAATCTTAAAAGATAGCAAAAATCGTGCCACAATAATTTATTTAACACCTTTATAAAAACTGAGTTTACTCTCGGCAAAATACAAAAACTGCATACAAAGGATGCACTCTTTGCCCTTAAAAGGCATCATGATTTTTGTCGATAGGACATTTGGATCAAAACATATCGAATTTTTACCATCGAGCTGATACAAATTGAACATTGATTTCTCGCGAGTAACTGACATGCCAATTTTAGAGTATTGCATAGAACAGAAAAAATAGTATACCTAGGATGTAACATCACAGATAGCTGGGATCAGTCATACGAGATTAGATGTAGGATCGAAAACGAAAGGAGTACCTTTTAACAGATGAAGAAAGTTCTCTGCAACCTTGAACTTACATCTCCGACTCAAAATCCTTATTTGTTATGTGTTTTCTGTTCTTATGTATGGAGCAGAGGCATATACACTCACTGATGCGTCTTGCAGACGGTTACAGTCTTTCGAGATGTGGTGCTATCGTCGCATGCTCAGAATATCATATGTATGTACATCATATAACTAACGACGCAGAAATGCAACGTTTACAAAAAAAACCTGAAGTCTTGAAATCTATTAAAGAGAGAAAGTCTATAGAAGGGAAAATAGAAGCAAATAGAGGAGCAGGACGCCGCCGAATATCCTGGCTTTAGAATTTGAGACAGTGGACAGTTATGATCACCACAGAGCTATTTCGAACAGCTGCTAATAAAATACGATGGGCCATTGTGGTAGCTAACATCCATAGAGGATAGGCTAGTGCAGGAGAAGAAGAACTGACATACAAAATCGAAAGTCGCTACAAGCATTGTTTCTATGAGAACGGTTCATTCTACACACAAAATGCTTATTAACATTTTTGGTTAAAATTATCTTAGCTATGTTTTTTATTTAAAACATTTTTTTCTACGGTGCCAAAATGCAGCTTGTTCGTATGATTTTTAGGGGTCAACTCTCTGACGACTGGACTATATTTGAGTTTTAAAAAATATATTTTTTATATGCATAGATTTGCTTGAAACTATGTCAGTAGTTAAAAATAGTTCAAAGATCAAAATCTACCCTATGGCAATATGTGCTTTTTCTCTGGGGTGACTACCACTCCAACTGGGGATGGAAAAAGTTTACCAAAAACACCATGGTAGTCGCTAGAATAGTGAATTTCAAGACAAAAATGTTTTTTAAAGTTTTTTCAAAAACTCATTATTTTTGGAGTGATTTGTCACTTAAAGTTCACAAATCACACGTTCAAAAGATATGTTTTTAATTTGGTTTTTCGCGAATAAGTCAAAAAATTTAGATTTTATTACAAACATTGTTTGAATAAAAAGTAAAGCTTATAATACAAAGAAAATCGTTGTTTATTATGATCGTAAAATTATTATTAACAAAGTTATAGCAGTTCGAAAGTATACTTTGATTCTTCGAATACAAGAATCCAAACATATGATGTGTAATAGTCAGAAAACTGTAAGTGTTTTATGGAAAACTCATCATATAAATTTTTATAAAGATCTTACAAAAATCTTATAAATGACCAGTGGTACATGTGATTTTCATGAAAATTAAGTTATAACTTGTAACAATATAATTTGCTTATAGGGGGCTAAAAGGACGGACTGAACAGTTACTGGGCAAATTGAAACGTTTGCGAAAGGTTACTCGTATTTTGGTTGAAGA